GGAACAACGGCACTAGCACCTACAGGGCCAGCACCTCCAGTACCTCCAGCAGCACCTGTGCCTCCAGTACCAGTACCTCTAGCACGGCCAACTCCTGGAACACCAGGACTAGCACCTCCAGGGTCAGCACCTCCAGTACCTCCAGCAGCACCTGTGCCTCCATAACCAGTACCTCCAGCACAGTCAGCTCCAAGAACACCAGCACTAGCACCTCCAAGGCCAGCACCTCCAGAACCTGCAGCACTAGCACGTCCAGCGCCACCACCAGGATTGCCCCTATAGACCGCCCACTCGTGAAGCCGCTCCGGCGAGAGAGGCTCCTGGCGACGGGAGCCAGCAGCACCCACAGCAGCAGCACCTCCAGTACCTCCAGTAGCGCCAGTAGTCCCAGCACCTCCAGCTCTAGCAGGACGAGCACGGCTAGCTCCACCACCAGGGCTGCCCCACTGTACAGCCCACTTGCGAAGCTGCTCCGGCGAGAGAGTCTCCTGCCGACGTGCACCAGTGCCACCAGCACTAGCAACCCCAGTACCACCAGTAGCAGAACCTCCAGCTCCAGCAGTCCCAGCACCTTCAGCTCCAGCAGTCCCAGCACCTCCCGCCCGAAGACGGCTAGCTCCACCACCAGGGCTGCCCCACTGGACAGCCCACTCGCGAAGCCGCTCCGGCGAGAGAGCCTCCTGCTGACTCGTACCAGGACCACCATCACCAGCACCCCTAGAATCAGCACCCCCAGAGTCCGCACCCCCAGTGGCACCACCTCCTGCAGCACCAGAGTCCACAGCGACATGCTGCAACGGCGGTGAAGACGGTCGAGGCGGAAACCCAGGAGGGACCACCAAGCGCGCGGAGCGGCGGGGGGTTACGGTGGCAGCGGGAGTCGGGTCACCCCCCTCAGTTGGGCCAGAGGTGTCAGAGGAGACCTTGACTGGTTCAACCAAGGGGGACGGGTACCTGAGGGAGCAGGACCCTGCGGGGGGAGTGGGGCTACCGGGGGGGGGGGGGGGGGGGGGGGGTCAGAGACCAATGCAAGAGGCGGGAGGGGCACGGGTGAACTACGGTGGGGGTGGAGACGGTAGAAGCAGACAGACTCGTCAAAGGTGACGTCCTGGGAGGAGAGAACACAAGGAGAACCGGGTGGTAAAACTGCCAACCCGGGGCGTCGGTAGGGAAGCCAAGGAAGACGCAGCGAAGAGTGCAGGGAGAGAGCTTCCCCGCGGGGAGGTCGCGAACAAGCGAAAGGGCATCCCAGACCCGAAACGCCAACGCATCACCAACCTCACCCCTCCACCGCAGAGTGGGAGAGGTCTCCGGGTGGGAGACACGGGGCCAGAGGTTGAGTTGCTCATCAGTGTATCGGACTGCAAACGGCCACAAAAAATGGGGAGCAGCCGCATGGACAATGGAGGTGCGAGCAACCTCCATCACCAAGCCAATGCGGCGCTCTGCAATCCCATTCTGCTGGGGAGAGGCCAGAAGCGTGAACGTCTGGCGAATGCCCTCATCACCACAGAAGTCCTTGAGGAGGTCGGAGGAAAACTCACCACCTCGGTCAGAGTGCAGTCGCAGGACCGGGAGGTCCTGCTGAAATCGAGCACTGAGCTGGCGACGGACAGCACGGATCCAGCGGATCAGGACACTGCGGACCTCCGCCTTGCTCTGCAAGGGGAAGACCGTGGTGTAGCGCGTATAGTCGTCTACAACCAGCAAGAAGTAGAGCTCTCCGCCCTGTCCAGGGACTCGGGCTGGACCCCACACGTCCACGTGGAGGGTCTGCAGAGGAGCTGTGGTCGGAGGAAACAAAGAGGAGTGAGTAGCGGCGCGCTGCCGTCCCTCGACGCAGGGAAGGCACGGTGGCGCAAGCGACTCGGGAGCGGGGGCAGGGACCTGGGAAGCCCAGAGACAAGGAGATGGGAGTGCATGCCATGAAGGTGTGGCAAGGAGGGGTGGCCAAGACGGTGGTGCCAGAGGAGAGTCTGGTGCGTGAGGAGACGACACGAGTAAGACGCAGCGACCTCAACCGACGCAGCTACCTGACCTGACTCAGCTACTAGTGCAGACTCAGTGGTCAGTCTGTACATGCCAGACCCAGGCCTCCGAGTGAACGTGGCGAGGTGCTCACCAGTGCGTGAGTCCGTACAGATCGCCACTAGCTCGCCTCCAGGCTAGGTGACAGTGACCCACTGGTTCTGGAGGACACAGGTAGCCACCAAGTTCTTTGCGAACGAGAGGCGGCCGGACAAGGGAGAACAGTGGCGCCACGCGCGACTATCGGGCCCCCGGAGGGGTCGGTCAGTGTGACGGGGACAGAGGCTGTGAGCGGTGAGACTGTGGTGCTGTCGCGGAAGAAGCAACGAGACGCGCTTGAGTTGAGAGTAAAAGTGTGCAAGGCCTCCTCATGCTCTGCACATGTGCTAGCTGAGTCAAAAGCACCAAGACTAGCAGCCTCTACCCTAGCAACTCTGGGCACACACGAGTAACAGTCCCCCTCAACACTAGCAGAAGCAGCATACATCGCATACATCCCAGCATGGATCACGTCCCAATCACAAGCAAAGACATCAATGTCCTTCTTCAGCAAAGCTAACCAGTCTGGAGTCTTCACCATGTGCTCACCATGCTCCGCACGATACAGATCGTCGAGGTGAAAGAAGCAACAAGACTATGTGTGATCAGTGCGGGTGCAAGCTGCGCCAGGCTGACCTGTGCGACGGATGTACCCATAGCAAGCTGGGACACCCGAGCTGCCACGCCTGACTGCCCACTCACGAAGCTGCTGCAGCGAGAGCTGCAGCTGCCCACCCCCAGAGCCGCCTCCACCACCGGCTGCACCACCACACATAGCAGTGCGCGTAGTCGAGCCTCTAGCTCTACCCCCTCCAGTTCCACACCGAGTGCCACCCCCGCCCCCTCCACCACCCCCACTGCTCCCACCACCCCCTCCACCTCCGCTGCCGCCACCGCCTCCTCCTCCTCCACCACCTCCACCACGACCGCCCCCGCCACTACCACCGCCACCCCCACCTCCCCCACCACCCCCACCCTTGCCCCCCTTGCCCTTGCCACTCTTGCGCCTCCCAGCAGGAGCAGACGCAGCACCAACCTCCTCAGCACGAAGGAAGTCGACAGCAGCAGCAGAGGCAACAGAGGACACGAGCAGGGAGGGGGAGCACCCCTCGAAGAGGGGAGTGCCACGGGAGGCAGCTACAGCAAGGGCAGCAGACTCAGCCTCTAAGAGGCGTTTCTCAAACGAGTTTATGGTGACTTTGGTGGGGTCGAGAGAGAGGAAGTGATCACGTACAGCACGAAGCGTGTCAGGGAGGCGAGTCGTGAGAAAGAGGGTGGGATACATGGGGGGCTTGTTCTCAGCCAGAAAGTCGGCATATAGAGCAGCACGGTAACGGGTGTCAAGAGAGCGCAGGTGCGTGATGAGGTCGGCTACAGTGGTGAAGTCGGCGAGCTCAGGAAAGAGGAATTGCAGCGCAAGGCGGCCTATCGTGGCAGAAGACGGGGAGGAATAGCGTTTGACTACAGTGTCGTAAAGTGCTTTGGCCGTCTTAAGCTGGCGGAAATGAGTGCGCTGGTCGGGCGGAATGTGGTTACGAATAGCAAGGGCCGCAGAGGCGTCACGAGCGGTCCACTGAGAACGAACTTTCTGGTTTGTGGACTCAGTAGGGGTAGGGAGGGACCCGAAGGTGTGCTCAAACAGTGAGATATCCTCCCTAGTGACGCTCTTAAGGAACCACTCTAAGTCCTCGAGCCAGTTCTCAAAATCGATCGGGTGCCCCTCGGTGTCAAAGGTGAGCAAAGTAGGAGTAGCCATAGCAGCAGTAGCGGCAGTGGCAGCAGCAGCAGCGCTTAGCAGCAGCAGCAGGCCAGTGCGGCTAAGTAAGGGCAGGGCAGCGCGGCTCGGGCAGGGTAGCGCGGCTCAGGCAGGGCGGCGCAGCTCGGGCAGGGCACAGCGCAGCAGCGCGTGCAGTAGCAGCAGTGGCAGCAGCGCGCTTAGCAGCAGCAGTGGCAGCAGCGCGCTTAGCAGCAGCAGCAGCACTTAGCAGCAGCAGAAGCGCTTAGCAGCAGCAGCAGCGCTTAGCAGCAGTAGCAGCTGCAGAAGAGACAGCAGCAGCAGCGCGCAGCAGCGCTGACGGGCAGGGAGCAGGCAGGGTGCGCGTGGGGTGCGCGCGGGCAGGGCGCAGGCCGGGCGCAGGCTGCTGACGGGCAGCTCGTTTGTGGGGCAGGGCAGCGCGTGGGTGGGCAGAACGCACTGGCGGGGCCGGCAAAGCGCGTGCGGGCAGCGCGCGGGTGGGCAGCAGGGTGCGCGTGCAGAGCGCGCGGGCAGGCAGGGCGGCGCAGCTGCAGGCAGAGCGCGCACGGGCAGGGCGGCGCTCAGGCAGGGCAGCAGGGCGCACACGCAGGTAGGGCAGCAAGGGCGCGCAGCAGCAGGGCAGCTGGGCGCGCGCGGGCAGAGCAGTAAGGCGCGCGCAGGCGCTAGGCAGCAGGGCAGGAAAAAAAAAAAAAAAAAAAAAAAAAAAAAAAAAAAAAAAAAAACCCGGGTAGGGCGGAACGTTCGGTGGGCCCTAAGGAATGTACCTACTCTAATACCATGTTAGAATGTGGAAACAGGAATGAATGCATTAGGGTTTGGGAGCAATACAAGTAGGCAACCCTAGAAGTGTTGTACCCTATATGGGCTACCCCACTACAGCCTACAGACATGCAATTGCATTTTGACAGGTATTATGTAGCATTTTCCTATGAGAAGACCCCCCCCATTTTTCCCTTGTATTTTTAGTAACACCCTAGGGTGTTTATGTCCGAGAGAATACCGTATTGCCCGAACCCCAAATCTACCAAACCAAGCGTTGACTCAGTTTATGTAATTCAGGCTTCGGGTTTTTAACTGAGCAGAGATGCAAATTACAGTGGATTACAATCACAACTGCTTGGACTAAGCTTAATTATTGCCAGCCCAAAGCGCCTCTCTATCCTTCCAATCAACTGTTTTAAGCATTCAGTGGGATAGGGACTGTGGAGATACCATGGACTTGAATAGTCCTAGTCATGCTTAGATTCGCCATGTTCAATGGGCCAAACGAAGATCCGCCTACAGCTTTGAAATAGCATTCCCTTGTTGAGTAGCTGTTCACCTTGACCAGCTTCAGGCCCATATTCATGGTGGGGAACTGCCACATGGGTACAGTTGATAGAAGCCGATCCTTGCTGAACTTTCCCTTAATAATCAGATTCTTCATTATGCGAAGCCTCTGCTGGGGAGTGAAAGCCTCCCACGTCTTCTTCATGCACTGATTGCCAATATTGGACGGAACAAGGATCGTGGAGGGACCCTCCAGGGATATAAGTTTGACCCTGGCTGCACCAAGATGGAAAAAGAAAGGCAATCAGAAACAGGCTCAGCTAGTTAAAATCAAAGAATACTGGAGGGTAAGAAGAAAGGCAATAAGAAACCGACTCAGCTTGTTTAAATCAAAGAATGCTCGGAAGCTATGCTTGTCCTGCGGCTGCCATGTCCTCAGCAAGAAATCCTTACTCAAACGCTTACCCGCAGTGTAGAAACGTTGCGCAAAAACGGAAAAAAAGGGGTACTTCTTATCGAGGTCCTTGAACGCCGTTAAGAGCTCGGTTTGCAGCCGTTCGGCACGCGATGGGGGCTTCCTCGCCGGTGCCCTCTTGACCGCGATCGTATGCGGAACCACTAGCAGCAGCAGAATGGTTGCTACGGCTATGGCGAGGTTCACTGCACGGAGCGTCAGAAACAGCCTCATTGCAACCACGGACGGTCACACCGAAGGGATCGGAGAAACAAATCCACTGAAGCAACGAGGGAGGCCCAAGGATGCGAAGCTCGGCGAGGCTGAGGACTTACTGCACAGAACATCATGCTAACAGTGCAAGGCTGAGATTTACAAATTTAAGCGTTCTCTACGGTCGCCGCAGGACAAGGAACAAGCGCCTTGTCTGGTGGAGTTTTCCGTTAGAGGGAGAAGAGGGAGGGGAGAACTGGTGCTTGGACGGTGTGGGGTTACATCTGCTGTTGGCGCGACCAGGACTAGACATCGGCTCGAGGCGGCCGTTCCCGGTTCCGTGGTTTACAGTTTTATCCATCCAAGGTGCCGCTACCATCGGAGAAACTACATCGAGAAAATCCAGGATTTGGACCCAGGTCGGAAGCCATTTGCAGGATTGACGCAAGAAGCTACAGATCGTACGCGGGCAGTGCAGAACGTGTCGGTGTGTTCTTGCGCGGCTTTGATGGAGCATGGCTTACGTTTGGGCCTTGGAAACCTAAAGAATATCCCGGCACGGTTTCTTTTCGCCAGCATAGGGAACCCATCGGTCGGACTGCCAGCCAGGTATGTCCAGCCAACGGAACGAGCTAATTTTACGGCGCCAGTAGACACTGTCATATTCGGCGCGCATAGCGCGTTCGGATCAGACGCGCGGAAAGGACGATTAGACTTCCTTGACTACTAGAACTCTTGAAAGAGAAGAGATCCTCGTGAGGCAGTGAGATGCGGTTTCATCTTGCATGCATCGTAATCCACCCCACTCCACTCCACTCCACTCTACTCCATTCCACTCCACTCCACTCCACTCCACTCCACTCCCACCATACCCACCATACCCACTTCCCACTGGGCATGGCGCACTAAGGGGATTTCTTTCGTGCATTTCCGTTACTCGTTTGTCCGTCACTTCTCCATGCATTTCGCCCTCGTAAGCGTTTGTAACGGCAGGCATTTGCATAAGCAGTGAAGTTATCATATACCTGAAAAATTCATTAACTAAAATGCCCCAAAACTGAAGCGAAATAACTATATATGATTTCGCTATAATTCCTGGTTCAACAAAGATTTTTTTTATATATATATATCTGGTTTTCACGCTGTAATAGAGTCTGGTTTTGTTGATCTACCGTACAAGGAAGTGCAAGGGAGGGGATGCCTACTATGTTCCTAAGTTTACTAATCGACGACTTATAATTCCTGTTTTGTTTCATGCAGCATCGTGTGTTCAGCGAGGACAAATTATCGTGTATGGTTGTGCAGACATGAGAAGCCAGTTGCTAACTTGCTAGCAACGCCAGTGCCTGTCAAACTGCTGTCAAGTCTTCTAGTCACTCGGAATTCTCCGACGACGACTGCACGTCATCCAGTAGTAGTCTTCTCCAATGCTTCTAAAATTTAGACGCCATCGTGGCGCTTTTCTTCGTTCTACCGAGTGTTCGGGAACGTCTGAGTGATTCTACAACACGTTCATCGTCATCAGATTTACGCGATTCGATTCTGGCATCGCTCGGATTAGATGTCGGCAAGACCAATGGCGCATCTTGGCGCTCGAGCTTCAACCCGGCTGGGCTACCCGCCCTTCGTCCGCCTGAGTTTCGCCCACTATTTATCCGCACGGTTCCTGCAGAACCTACTCAAGTTCCTTTTCACAACGAGTGAAGTTCTTCACCGTCCAATCGAATTCAAGCCGACATGGCCATCCCGCGCGCGGCGCTCCTTATTTCGATTGTCTGCCTCTTTGGAACCGCCTCTGCTACTGCTGCAGGTCCATTAATCTCGTCGGGCATTGGGCCTCGTCGTAACCTTACAGATCTTCGCGGGTCTCGTCGGGCCTTTGAACACGTATTCGTTCCCAAGCCCGTGACTGCAGCACTCGGCGCAACGGCAGGAGCCACGCTCAAAGCAGTCCAATCAGCAGCTGCCACGATTGCAGGCTTCGTTTCTCGATTTCCAGACAAGCACTTATTCGGCGACGCTTCTAAGGGTTGCGAGGATTTTGTCGTGCTGCCTGCATGCGATTTCTATTTTGACCTGCTCGGCCCTCTGGGTCTGCCCTCTCTTCGTCTCCCTTTCGTCTCTCAACTTGTGCTGCTGGATTCCCAGCGCAACGGGGACCGTCCCGTGAGCCTGAATATCGCCACCAGCGTTTCGCCCAGCGTTGACGAAGTTGGCGACGACAAGAAGAAGGATAACCGTTACCAGGTGGAGGTGGATGCGACTGGGAAGGCGGTATACTGCAAGTGTAAGGCAGCAGAGCTGACAACGAGCGTGGCACATGCTGGTGATCAATTCTTTGTCTCATAGATTTTAGCTTGTCATGCTGTTTACTTCAACCTGAAATTCTTCCCCTCCCTTCCCTCCCCCCTCCTTCCCCCTCTCACCCCACCCACCCACCCCCATCGATTTTCCCGCCCATCCCACCACTCCTTCTCGTCGATCCAGCCAGCGAGGGTGTATGCTCGGACTTTCCAGAAGGACCTTCTAGCAGAAGCCTTCCAGGGCTGTTGTGTGCGCCTGCCACTGGCCAGCGTGCAGCTGAAGGCTCCTAACGGTGATGTCATTAACCTGAACAAGGGAGACGGAGATCATCGGTTCCCTGAAGAGCGTCGCTGTCTTAGCTTTAATGTGCTTGTATTGTAAAAGTTTGCAATGGGTGGGCCATAGGTACCGTACCTGAGTTTGGGGTGGCACCATTATAATGTTAGAATTTAAGCTGTCTGAATAGGATCGTAGTCTTAGGATAGTAGCTTCCTGTAGCAGTGGAAGTCTTATATGAGTGACTTGTAACAGGATCAATATCTCTGAAATCAAGTATATTAAGAAATGACAAACATATAGAATATATACTAGGATAAAGTACCTATTCGCTTAATGTACCTATTAGCCTGAAACGGTACGTGACTATTCGCGATACCTACAGCTACTGCTGACGTCATCCTAGGGCGCGTAGCGCTTTGCTGACCTCAGCCTATCGGTACTTTTACTGTACTAACTACACTACACGAATTCCTTGAAGTGCACAAGTCTCGATATTATCTCAACACTCCCCTTCACTTCTAGGAGTTCGGTGTAGTCACCCTGTTGACTCGGAAATGCCATTGAGCTGATTGCAGTGATGAAATTTCCGATGTAAGCGAATCAGCGGCCATGTCGCTGGTGGGGCAGTAGACAAGGCGCATTCTCCCCTTGACGATCGCGTCTTTTACGAAGAAGTAACGCAGCGAAATGTGTTTCGTGCGATTGACGAAACCAGGCTTGTTGGCGATGGTAATTGCACTCTGGTTGTCGCACTGCAACGTGAACTGATTCGGCGTGACGAATTTTGCTTCGTCAAGCAATTCCTGCAGGTACAGACCTTCGCGAGTTGCAGCACAGGCGGCGATGAATTCTTCTTCAGCCGATGAAAGTGACACGAGTTCCTGTTTCGAGGAATTCCAGGAGATCGGACCAATCGGCTCGAGACGAAAAATATAACCCGTGCGTGACCGTCGATCTGACGTGTCGCCAGCGTGGTCCGCGTCAACGTACCCGCTGAGGTACATTTTGTCGGTCGGCTTCCCAGCGATGAAAATCAACCCGATTGTTGGTGTAGAGTCGAAGTAGCGTAGCGCACGCTGTAAGTCGAGAGAGTGTTCTTCTTTCGGGCAGCGTAGAAACTGCGCAAGGTGACTTGCGACGTAGGCAAGATCAGGGCGACAGGTGACTGCTGCGAAAAGGAGACATCCCAGCTGCTGCTGATACAGTTGAAGACCAGCTGCTGACAGATTTTTCAGGTTGGGAACGTGCCCGGTGAGTGTAGACCGATAAGGTGTAGCAACGAAATCCGTGGAGATGTTGAAACGCTTAGCGAGTGACTCCGCATACTTCGAAGCCGTGAGATGAATAGCGGAAGAAGTTCGCGAAACGTTTAACCCCAGAAATTGAGTTACTTTGGTGGAAATGGTTAAGTCAAGCGATTTCTTTAGATCGGCTTCGATACGATCACCCAGCGAAGTCAACGAACTGACGTAGAGGATGTCGTCCACGTAAGCCACTAACAACGCATAGCTCCCCTTGTCGTCTAGCCGGTACATCCCGGGATCGTGCGGCAGTTGTCGAAACCCAACCTCCGTCAGCTTCCTGTTCAAATGCTGCTGCCACAGTCGCGGTGCTTGTTTGATTCCGTACAGTGACTTTTTGAGCTTGCAGACACTCGGCGGATTTGTCGAATAGGTGTGCGGATATTCGACGTAGATTTCGGCATCGACGTCGGCATACAGAAAAGCGTTGGAAACATCGATTTGTCGAAGTTGAAAATTCTTCGCGGCTGCTTCGCAGAGAACGAGTCGAACACTCGTATGTCGACTGACCGGGGCGAAGGTAAGCGTGTAGTCGATCCCATGAGTCTGATCAAAACCGCGAACCACCCACCGTGCCTTGTGTTTCTCGTAAGTACCATCCGCTTTCGTCTTCACCCTGAAGACCCACTTACCAGTAAGAACATTTTTGTTTACCGTTTTTTCAATGGGTATAAGATCCCAAGTTTCCCTTTTCTCCAGGGCAGCCAGTTCACGATCCATCGCTTCACGCCATTTTTCGCGATGAGGCCCTGAGAGAGCTTGTCGGGCAGTTTTCGGCTCCAAATTCACTGTAGAACTGTGATATACCGCTGCTGCGAGTCCCAGAATTTGCAGTCCGGTCTGATAACGCGGATTATCGTCGGTGCGACCTGCGAAATTGACAGAATCGTTCTGGTCTCCACTTGCCCCCCCAATTTCGTCAGGGTTGACACGGATGCTGCTATCGGAAACCACCGGCATTGGTTGGCGCTGTTCATCCACGAGGTAAGTATGATGAACATCGCGAACATCCTCAGGTGCCGCGTCAGCAAGAGGAATAAACTCCGGGATTCCGGAGGACGTGACAGGGACAGGTGGGTCGGGAACAGCTTCACGTGCACCGTCAGGGTCAGGTTCTTCGCTGGCAGCAAGTTCGGCGTCGGCGCTAGCGAACGAACGAACACCGTGGAAAAGCGTGGCTGGGTTTTGCTGCGTGGCAAGATGCTGTTCGAAGACGGGCAGCGTCAGATTCTCGTAGAAAATACAGTCGCGAGCAGGAACAAGGAGACGACTGCGGTAATCCATGATACGCCAGGCAAGAGATTGTTTTTCAATGCCGAGATGCAACCCCTGCTTAGCACGCTGATCGAACTTCCCGAGCGGAGCGGTAGGAGGACGGTACTGAACAAAACACCCGAAAACACGAAGTAATTTAGTGGTACCCAACTTGCCCGTCCACAGCAAGTAGGGTGAGGCGTTGTTGGGCAGGGCCGAGGACGAAAGAAGATTGTGCAACACCGTTGCATGGTCCATGGCGAAAGGCCAGTAGAGTGGGCCGAGTTGAGCCTGGGCAAGAAGGGCTCGCATCTTCTCTTGCATAGTCCTGTTGAGCCGCTCAGCTACGCCACTCTGCTGATGAGCGTGAGGCAATGAAAAAAGTCGTCGTATCCCGCGTTCTTGCAGGTAGGCCGTGAACTCGTTATTGCGATACTCACCGGCGCCGTCACACTGAAACGCCTTTAGCTTAGTATCAGACTCTCGTTCGGCTAGAGGAAGCCAGGTGCGGAAAGCTGTAAACGCAAGAAAACGGTTAGTCATGTTTCCAGTCCAAACGTAACGAGTAGAAGCTTCTGTAAATGTGATAACGTAGCGCTCGCCGTTGAAACCATCCGCAGGTAAGTTGAGTATATCGCTGTAAACCTTATCCATCAGGTGATAATCTTCAGCTCCAGGGAAATGAGTCGGGAACGGCTCGTGCGGTAGGTTCGCCGCATGGCAGATGGTGCAGGGTGCCGGGCGATTCACCGGCTTCAGTTCGAGACCGCTCGGTAAGAGTAACGAATTCTTGTCAAGCACTGCAGCCTTGATCGTGTTGTTTAGCGTAAACTGCGACGAATGACCAAGTCGCTTATGCCATGTTTCTCCCGTGGCTTTGTGACCTTGTGCGCGCAGGTAATACTCGGCGTTAGCGAAGAACGACAACAGAAGCTGATGACCATCGGAGCGGATCTGATCGAAAGCAGGTGCGACGTAACGAGTAAGATTTGGTGGTGGAACACGAACCTCAACATCCACGTACTCGCCTGGAGCAAGTACTAACTCGCCGCTTTCTTGATCGGATGCTGCAGGTACAGGTTCAACTCCAACGAGACGACCCGAGTCAAGAATCTCCATATCAGCGACGCGTTGCTCAGCTTCAGCAAGAAGACGATCATCGCGTTCAGCAGGCGTCTCGCCCCAAGTTGTTTCATCGGGTTCGTCAGCCCCCCAGATGCCGTCATCAGTCGGCATGTTCGTCGGATCACCCCAACCTTCAACAGCAGCCATGTACTCCCGGGAAGACTGAACATCATTCAAGCCTTCATCGTCGAAGGTCAACATGACGGCGGCAGCCGTGGTTGAAGACGTCGGGACAACTCCCTCACGTGGAACTGTATCGTCGGTGTAATCAATGTCGTCGCGATGCTCCCAAGGACCAAGCGAGAGAATGTTATCAGAGTCGGCAGTAGTGCGCTCAGGTATGAAGTTCAAAACGAAAACACCGTTTTGCTCAACTGCCGTGCCGAGTTTCTTGTCGCCGTACTTCAGAGTGAATTTCCCAGGTTCACCGAGAAGTGTAATCCCGTTCTTCATGAGCTGTGTAGATGACATGAGGTTGAAGCCAAGCCGAGGGACCAGAAGAACTTCGTTCAGGTGAAGACTGAAGTCTTCTTCAACTGAGTCCAGAACGATATTTCCCATCCAGTGAGCTGTAAGCCGTTGGTTATTGGCGACCGTGACGACAACGGGATTCTGCAGACGGCGTTGATTCACAATGAAACGAGTCTCTGACGAACACATGTGCTGACCGCAGCAACTGTCGAGGTACCAAGTATTGGGACCTGCAATAGTATGTTCAAGATTTGCATAGACCTCAGGTGGAATCGGTGTGTTGAGTTCGTTGTTGAACCGGTTGTGAATCCGCTCTTCAGCATCAGGATCATAAACCGTTGAAACTGATGTCATGCAGGTAATAACTTGCTTTGACTGTGTCTTCGCAGGGTCCGGCTTCGCAGAATTCAGCTTCGCGGCGTCCGGCTTCTCAGCTTCCGGCTTCTCAGCTTCACTTGATGAATCTTTGGTATGTTTCGATGCAGACCGTTTCCAAGATGGTTTGTCTTTCGACCAGCAGGTATCAATAGTGTGTCCTGTTTTTCGACAAAAAGAACAAACGGGCTTGTGACGTGGATTAGAATAAAAACTGACTGTATTGTTTACCATCTTTTTCCCTCCTCGAGCGTTGTGCAGATCCATATCCTGCTGCTCGGCGATGAGAGCGGCACAGAGTGCCCCCTCGGACAACTGTGCTTGCATCCGAAGTATAGAGCAACACTGTCGCCATTCTGGTCCAAGACCCGCGAGTAGCACCGTGTGAAACATAGCGTCGGGGAAGTACCCTCCACACTTCTGAAGTTGATCACGCAAATTTCGAGCGCGGTTGATATACTGCGTCACCTTCTCGCCGTTTATCA